CAACTCCATGATTAGTCTCACACACACACACACACACACCTCCTTTCACCCTCCCCCCCTTGGATCTTCGTACTTAATCTACTATAATGGTTTTATAACATATTTGTCCACAATATCATTGTTTCTTAATGCTGCATAGTATCCCATTGTTGGAATTTTTTTATTTTATTATTTTTGTGTGCGTGTACTGTCAAATCAGATCTGACTGGTATAGGAGGAGATTGTCCCTCCTTCCTCGGCAGAGAATCTGGTGGATTCGAACCATTCGCCTCTGGGATTGTAGTTGCAGCTCCTTGCCACTAGGCCACCAGAGCTCCCCTCATTGTTGGAATTTATCACAATTTCTCAGTCCGTTCATTTGTTGATGGGCATGTGGGCTGTTTCCATTATCTTAATATAACCACTGTACCACCAAGGCTCCTTACAGTGTGCTAGCAGGGTACAACTATAAACCACATCATAAACAGTGGTTATGTTCTACAAAAAAGTAGCCCACAAAATCATATTTAATAAAGTTATTTGTTTGCCTTATATATTTACAATGAAACCCAATAGAAAATGTCTTTGTATTTTATATACTGTAGTTCAAGGGAGCTCTGGTGGCTTAGTAGGAAGGAGCTACACTGCCAGCCCAGAGGCACATATCCACCAGATGCTCCACAGGAGAAAGATTAGCAATCTCTACACATGCAATTAATTGCCTCTGAAACTCATTGAAGGGTCAGCTATTAGTCAGTTCTGACTCAACAGTATATAAAAACATATGTTATTGTTACGTGATGTTGAATCACCTCTGCATCTCATAGCGACCTTATGTACAGTACCTCTGAACTCTGTCCTATCCTGAGCCAGTCTCACTGACTCTGATACACCTACCTATATTACCCCACTTACTGTGTCAGTCCATCTCATCAAGAATCTTCCTTTCCTGCACTGTCCCCCCACCCCTCTAAACATGATGTTCTTCTCCAAGGATGAGTTGGTTCCTCCTGGCCACATGTCCAAATTATGTGAGATGGACCTTCAAAGTCCTACCCTGAAAAAAAAAAATCCTACCCTGCAGTGAGCAATTTGGTTTCACCATCTCCAAGAAAAACCTGTTTGTTTTCTTGGTGATCCATGGTATATTCAAGACTCTTCTCCAGCACCACAACTCGAAGGCATTGATTCTTCTTCCAGCATCTTTAATCACTGTCCAGCTCTCTGATGCATAACAAGTAATTGCAAAGATTATGGCCTGGATCAGGTGCACCTTAGTCTCTAGAATGCATCATTGTTTCTCAGTACTCTGGAGTGGTCCCTGACAGCACATTTTCCCAGTGCAATTTGTCTTTTGATTTCCTGACTGCTGGTGCCAAGATCTAAAGGTGTTGATTGTGGAACTTAGCAAGCTGGAATTAACAACCTCAATCTCTTCTCCATCATGGTGCTGCGAATGGCTCAGTACTGAGAATCTTTTTTTTCTTGATATTGAACTTCAATACATATTAAAGACTATAGCCCTTGACTTTCTGCAGCAAGCACTTCAGATCTGTACATACTATAGTTCAACAAATTTGTAAATAATAAACTCTTATACCCATCTTGGGCCTCTGACTTCTTATTTTTATTTAACTCTTTTCATTAAAGGTAAGTTCAATGACAGATCTTTCAAGATCTTCATCATGGACTGTAGAAATTTTTCTCTAAATTTCTATAGTTTCATTTTTCAAGTGTTTACTTTTTTAAAATTTTATTTTATTAATTTTAATAAACATTTACAGAGATTTTGAATTGCCATTCATTCATTGCTGAACTTTTCTCCCTGCCCAGCTCTCCCCCCCCCATCCCCCAGTTCACCCACTCTTTGAAAAGCAAAAAAAATTCCTTCTTTGGTATACAAACCCCCGCACCCCTCCCACTGCCCCGAGTACACTCCACTGTGCAACCTTAATTCTGGACTCTTGTGATAACCAGAATACCCTGAGAAGAGTAAGGTTATTCAGGCTCCCAGAGAAACCACAGTAAAGTTTCCTAATATTTTAGAGATCAGTCCTAGTCACATGATTTCCTGCTGTAGAAGTTCTTCACTTGTTTTACTGTCACTGTTTTTACCTTCAATAGTTTCCCGAATCCTGACTGGTTTGGGAATTGTATTTTTTGTGATCATCATCAATTTGATGAGTTTTTTCTACTGTATTAAGAATGTTCATATTTTCAACTATGACACATCTTTCAATTTATTCTTCAGAAGTAGAAAGGAGTAGATTCTTTAGTGGCTGCTCCAAGCAATCCTGATTTTATTTTCTCACACATGGTATCACTAAAATTACTGCTTTCAGTAATTACATTCAGTTGTTCATTGTTGAGGAGTGTTCTGGCTCCAAATTAGGAATAAGAATATCAGTTTTCTTCTGTAGGATTTTAACCTTGGCATTTGATGTGTTTTTCCAAAATTTAATTTCCTAAGTTACTGGATAATAATGGTTCCCAGACTGGCTCTCAGTCTCTTCTGGAGTGCCAGTATAAACATACAGTGAGTTACTAATGGCTTTCGTACTAATGACTGGAGGAAATACAATATTTTGCATTTCAGTATCAAACTTCTCTTCAGACCAAAGAGATGTGATAGTTCCATTAGATGCTTGTATATGCAGAAAGTATATTCCTTTTAGGAAAAAATTTTGTGGAAAGACACACTGGGTAGGTGTGACATTTTTGCAGCTATACATTTGTTTCCATTTATCTGAATGGTCCCAAGGAATCTTTTCTAAATAACCAAGGAACCACTGGGCTTGAAAGGTGAAATTTTCATATATGTAATTCCATTTTAGAACATACATCTCATTTTTGGCTTCAAATTCAATGTTTGTTTGGTTTTTGGGTTTGTTTTTTTTCTTTTCCTTTTTATTGTGTGTGTGTGTGTGTGTGTGTGTGTGTGTACCGTCAAATCGGATCTGACTTGTACAGGAGGAGATTGCCCCTCCTTCTCCGGCAGAGCATCTGGTGGATTTGAACTGTGTACTTCTGGAATTGCAGTGCAGCTTTTTGTCACCAGGCCACCAGAGCTCCCCTCAAATTCAATGTTTTATGGTGGAAGTAGTTTATTTTCAACTGTGTTTTTAATACAATACCATGGACTATAGATACGAACTTTTTTTCTTCAAACATAGGCTTGCCCTTACTTTCAAGCAATATGTAGCTTCTGGTACATTTTGGTATATACATTCTGGTATATTTTCCCTCTGGGATAAACATCTTCATCTAAACTGGAAGAATTTTTCCAGACAACTAAGTTATATGTAAAGCTTGTTCTTTCCTGATCCCACATGAGACTATATTCTGTTCCAGGAAGAGAGATGTTGATTATTATTGCCTGGTCTTCAGCTTCTAATTCTACTTTTAGGAGGACCAGTTTGAGCTATTTGAAATGGGATAAACGAATCCACTTTATACCAGGGAGAAGTTTTGTTTGCTTTTTCTGCTCTTACACGTAACTTAACGTCTTCAAAAATATCTAGGTGGGCCGCAGAAAAGTTGCATTTCGTATCAGTAATATACTGACACTCAAGCAATTTTAACCAATTATCCAATTCAGACATTTGGTAATCTGCTGAAGAAGTCACATTACCGACAGACTCATCGCTCCTATCCACTTCCGCATAAAGTTGTCATCTATGATGCTGACTTCTATATTTTGAGGAGATTTTATAATTTCTTCACCTGTGGCTGTGGATGACATCCACGATGCCCCGGGTAACATCCATGATGCCCCAGTGTCCTCATACCCAAGAGGGTGAGTGAGCACAGTGTGGGGGCCACTGCCAGCTTCATGGTTCACATCCTTGCCGATCACATCCTTGTGATTCACTTGCCACCGCTGGGCCTCTGACTTCTATGAATAATATTTTTCTGAGAAAAATATGGCCCTGGTTCCCAACTAACATGTATGTGAACTTTCAGTGCACAAGTGAAACCACTGTGCCTATTTAAGTTACCTTTTGTTCTTTATCAGTTTTAAGTGTGTAAGAATACATGATTAATTGTAAATAATCTGGTAAAAAAAAGAGTACATAATCAAGCTCTGTGTACATAATGTTACCAGCATAAATAAGCCCCTCTAACGAAATCGCAGCAGGTATGTGAACATTTACATACATGTTCAGTTCCTATCATTTTCCTCCTTGACCTTCCCTTGACTGACTGAGCCATCTTATTATGATTTCAATGTCCTTGGCAGGAACCATGTCCTCTTTTATTCTGAACTGTGCCAAAGATGTTGTCAGCCAGCAGACAGTATTTGTTAGCGGAAATGTTCACAGTTTATCAGATACTCTCAAGAACAAAGCATATGAACTTGCTAAGCATCACCACTGTGTCAGACAGAAGCCAGCCAGACAGCATGAGGAAAGGCTCGGCCCAGGAAGAAGCTCCAGATATCAAAGTAAACTTGGTCTGAATTATCCATGATCCCTGAAATGATTCCTGTATAACAATGGCCATATTGTGCCCGTTGAATCACTTCTTTTTGCTATTTAGATCCCAGCTAACACCAAGAAGAAAATGAAACCGTTAATATATTTCTACCTTCTTCTGTTCTCCATTTATCAGTGAAAAGTTGGGTTTGAGAGGTGGGAACCTTCAAATGAATTCCAGCTGACTATACTGAATCCGTCCCACAGATAATTTATTAATACTTGTGTTGACGTTCTAAGAAATCTCCTTTCCCCACATTTCTCTCCTCAGAGATGCCTTTGAAGGCCCAGACCAACCTGCCACCACCAGCCTGCCAATGAGGATTTATCTTTCTGGAATTTTCTAAGGGCTTTGAAACCAGAGAAGGTGCTTTTGTTTTGGGGGAAGAGGAGATAAGGAAGGTGACTGGCTCTGAGCTGATCCTTTAAGAATGATACTTGTTTTGAAAACAAGGAAGGAAAAGCCCATTAGACTGAGAAACAGCATGTGGTAGGGTAGAGGTGCTGGAAAGATCCGATTTTCATTGCTTGTCTCTTGTGTTTCAGAGGAAAGGCAGCCACCACATAAAAGGTGAAGACAAGAACAAAGTAACCAGTAGGAGTGTTGGACTGGACACGGCCAAGTCACAGCCTACAGAAAGCAGAGCCCTACCAGAGGAGGGCCTCTTCTCCACTTCCAGAGAAGGTTGGATGAAGGAGGGGAGGGCTACGCAGTGCAGCAGCCTTTCTGGGTTCAGCAGCAACGACAGTGTCCTGCGGGAATTGGACGATGGACAGTTTGATCAGGAAGATGGAGCAACTCAGGTCACATGCATGTGAGCAAGGGGTAAAGCAATGGAAGGCGTTGGGAGTCATTCTTGAAATAATTGCCATCTGACTATTGTATTCTTTTGCCTGCATGGATGTTATGCTCTGAATTTTGCCAGACTCAAGCTTTCATCAAATCTCCATAAATTTAGATTCAATCTCCAGAGCAAGGAAGACTAGTCCACTAGTCCGTGTATTTGTAAATTTATAATCATGTTTACATTGCTCAGTTAAAACAGCTGTTTAAACAAATGTTCATCAGTTTACTAAGCAATAACCTCCTTTGATTTCTTGTGAATGTACAAAATATACTTTTAATTCCTGGGAGGAAGACTAAAACGTGTCAACCTGTATTTTACCTAACTAGAAAATTCTCAGGAGATTATAGTTTTACTTATGTTGAAAAATAATCCCTATCCGTCTTTGTTTCTGTCTCTCATGCATACATCTAAATAGAAATCAAAGCCTAATTAATGAAAATAAATAACTTTTCCAAATGTTGTCTTTAACTATGGCATGTATATACAAAACAGAGCCACATTTCTTAAAATATTTTTTTTTGTCAAAATAGTGTTGTGTGTGTCTTTACTTCTAAAGTGTTGTCTTTACTTTTAAGGAGTTACCATAAATTTATTAAGCTTTGTTTCTACTAATGGCATACCTAGAAAGACAGCAATGTAGGATCCCTTAAAATGCAATACTTCAAGAACCCATAATCTGCATGTTTTAAGAACCTATCAAGAAAAAAAAAAAGAACTTATCAAGAAAGACAAATTTTCTTTCAAATTACAAATTTTTACTAAGAGGAAAAGCATCTTTAAGTAGATACTGATGTCTTCTACATCTGTCTAGATTTCAATTATGCTTTTATCGTGACTTATTAAATCCTAAAAAATGCTGGGGCCTCTTCAGTCCCATTGGGGTAGAAACGCATTCATAGCACATGTGATGTGGACAGTCACCCGCTCTGCTCTTCTTGCCATGCTAATAAGATGCCTTTCTATGGCCTGGCCAAAGCCCTCAACAGGGAAGATTAACATTTTTATAAAATAGGGAATATACATTTATCCACAAAAACTTTACTTTGAATAGTGAAAGCCTTCAATATTATTTCAACTAATGATACCACTAAATTCAACCTATGTAGTTTTAGTAACATTAGTATTGACACTATAAAATCATTTGAATAATAAAATGTAATTTATTGAGCTATTGTTTTATTGGTCACAAGTACCTATAATATACTACAGTCATATAATAGGTATATATTACATATCGAAGATATAACAGAACTAAACCAATCCCCATGAATAATTTATAAGATTGCCATGAAATGCTGCCACGTCAGCTCTGATTTGTAGTGACCCTGTGTTCAGCAGGGAGCTCTGATGGTATAGTCCACAGGAAGTTGTACTGCTAGCCAGAAGGTGGCGCCTCCCTGGTAGTTCAAATCCACCAGCACAACTCAAAGGCATCAATAATTCTTCCGTCATTCTTGGTCATTGTCCAGTTCGCTGATACATAGCGAGTAATTATGAGTACTATGGCCTGGATCATGAGCTCCTTAGTCTCTAGACTGAAATCATCACCCTTCAGCACTCTGGAGAGGTCCCTGACAGCAGATTTCCCTGATGCAATTCATCTTTTGATTTCCTCAGTGCTGGTGCCAAGAGTGTTGATTGTGGAACCGAAAAAGCTTATATTGTTAACAATCTCAATCTCTTCCTCTATCATGATGCTGCCAGTTGGCTCAGTGGTGAGAATCTTCATTTTCTTGAGCTTCAATCCATATTGAAGACTACAGTCCTTGACCCTCTTCAGCAAATGCTTCAAGCCCTCCTCAGTTTCAGGATGCAAGGTTGAGTCATCTACATAATGCAGATTATTGATGAGTCTTCCTCAAATCCTGATGCCACATATCTCTTCATAGAGTCCAGCCTATTGAATAACCTGTTCTACATACAGATTGAAAATTGATCCTAACTAGGGATGATTGAAGGAAAATTGATGCCTTTGAGCTACGGTGCTGGAGAAGAATATTGAATATCTCATGGACTGATAGGAGAGCAGTTTCCTACTAGAGAGGGTGAAACCAGACTGCTCCTTGGAGGCAAAGATTCTGAAACTCTGCTTGACATGCTTTGAGCATATTACAAGGAGGGCCAGTCCTTGAACAAGGAAATCATGCTTGGGAGGATGGAGGCACAGTGCAAGAGAGGAAGATACTTGATGAGATATATTAATTAAGTAACCGGGGTAATGAGGGTAGGTGTGCCAGAGACAATAAAGTTGCCACAGAATAGAGCAGCAGGGTTCAGAGCTATTGTTCATAGGGTCTCTGTGAGTCACAAGCTACTCAATGGCACATAACAACAACAACAACTAGTTGACTTAGTTTCATATGTATATCCAGTTCCCCCTTCCTCTCTTTGAGCTATGGTGCTGGAGAAGAATGTTGAATATCCCATGGACTGCCAGGAGAACAAACAGATTTATTCTAGAGGGTGAAGCCAGGCTGCTCCTTAGAGGCAAAGACTCTGAGGCTTCGTCTGACCTACTCATGTTGCAAGGAGGGACCAGTCCTTGGACAGGGACATCATGTGTAGAAGGGTGGAGGAACAGAGAAAGAGAGGAAGACCATCAACGAGGTGGGTTGATACAGTCACTGACTTAATGAGGGTAGGTGTGTCAGAGACAGTATAGAGCACAAGATAGAGCAGGTTTCAGGGCTGTTATACATCAGGTCACTATGAATCGCAAGCAACTCGACGACACATAAGAACAACCAGTCTTTACACAACAGACGGCATGATCTTTTTACAAGAAAATCAGATCATGTTTTTCTCCTGTTTAAAACTTCCAAAATGCCCTTCCTCTTGTGTACAAGTCCTGAAGTCTGGCTTCTTCCCGCCTCTGAGACTGCTTTCTCCTATAGTAAGCACTGACTTTCTCCCTGCTAACCTCTACCTCACCGACTTTGTCTACCTGGTTTTCTCTGCTACCTGATCTCTGTGTGGCTAGCTTCTTTTAGTTATTTGCATCTCAATTTATACATGACCTCCTCAGAAAGGACTTTCTGATGACTTAAGACCCTACTTAACAATTACTACATCACCTTGGGTTACTCCTTTGCAGAGCATTTCGTTTGTCTGGTTTTTAAAAAATTTGTTCATCCATTTATTCAGTAGTTTATTACATGCTTTCCCAACAGGAATGTGAAATCTTGAGACCAGGATGTTTGCTGCCATGCCTCTGGCTTATACACCAGGGCTGGCAAATAGTAGGTATTTGCTGAACAAATGGACCAAACCTCGTCCCAGTTCCTGGAGATAAGTTGCTCTAGGATTCATGAATGCATTGGAAAGGTTTTGTTGATTGTGACTTGGGTATATTGCCTTATAGATAAAAAATAAATTTGGTGAAAATTCTCTTTCTAAATAACCTCACCCTGATTTTAAACCAGAATAAATGTTAAGAACTGCATTTTCAAAACAGTGAGTTTATTTGAACTTTTTGCATATTTGGTGATTGTTTTTAGATTCTTTGTGGAAAGATGCTGTTGCTTTTGCCAGTTGATGTTGAATCAGTTCTGACCCACAGTGACCTCATGAACAATAGAATCAAATGCTGTCAAGTCCTGCACCATCCTCACGATCATTGCTGTGCTTGAAATGTCTTAGTGTCATCTGAGTAGAAGTTTGCACAGCAGATTGATATTCTGTTCAACCACTCATACATATTTTGTTTCACAATATTGATTACATTCTTTATATCCCCCCCCCCATCTTTCTGTGGTTCTTGTCTCCATCCTCTCCCTTCTTCCTACCATCTGAGTTTTATTCCTGGGCACATGCTGCCTTTATGATCTTGAACAGTTGATTGTTTTAAGGAGTAATGTTATATTGCTCACCTTATGTTTCTCTTTATTGTTTGGTTACGGATTTTGCCATAGGAGTGAATTCAGTTCCAGGCTCAAAAGTGACTTAACGGCCGTGGTTTTGTAGGTTCTACCATTTTCTGTCAGACCTGTCCATCACTGTGATTGTGAGTTTTGTTCTGCATTTATCTCCACTCTATCCAGCCCTGTACTGTGACTCAGTACAGAGTGATTAGCAGTGTAGGTGGGTGCCATGTAGTTCTCCTGGCCTCAGGGTTTTGAAGGTTGAGGTTAATGAGGTCGATTGGTGCTGTTTGGGCTGTTTTCATTCATATTTTATTTTTGCCTCTCTTCTTTGCTTCATTGGAAAAGACCAATGGTTGCACCTTAGATGGTCACTGGAAAGCTTTTAAGTCTCCAGTCACTACTTGTTAATGTAAAGCATAAAACATTGGCTTTGTGAGCTGTCATGCCAAATAGCCTTGCTGTCTCCTGAAATTATGGTCCTGTGACCAGTGGCTCATTCCTTCACAGTGTTTGGTTATAATTAAGAAGTTTACTTAAATTTGCTTTTTGTTGTCTCTACTATATACGTGACTATATTTGCAGCATGTATGAATACTTAGGTTGAAATATTACCTGCCAAATATATGCAGGATTGTGAGCGTAGACTTTTTCACTTAAGAAACGAAGTTGTGATACAAGCTGCCGTGTGGATGGAGCTTAAAGACATTATGCTGATCAATAAGTTGATTACAAAAGAGTAAATATTAAGAAAAACAGAAGAAGACAAAAAATAGGAGTAAATATAACCTCCATTAATATAAAAAGACAAAGACAGATGTATAGGGACTGTGGTGTTAGACTAAAAGTTGGAGTGGGGGTGTTTTTAGACATTTGATAGCACCGCTGGTCTCCAGCTACCTTAACTGCAGACACGTGGTCTTGCAAATCAACATGGTCTTGTTAATCATCAACAGCTGAGCATCAATATAAATAGCGCACGCCCTATACTAGAGGGTGTGTGAAGACACCAACACAGGAGCCACAGCATCATGACTGTGTTTAAACCTCCTGCTGCATCCAGCTGGCCCATTGCTCACCAGTTTCTACAAAAGAACCTGGCTTGCATAAC